ATATCAGTTATATTATCATATTATACTTTGATACATGAGATCAACGACATAAATTACAATGATGTTTATAAACATACGCACAATATTGTTATAAATATTGTAATTTACCGTTATTCATTATTCCAAAATCTCCAGCGTAAATTTGTATCACTGATTGAATTAGTGAATCCAGTAGAATCAATTTCTTTTTATTTTCTGGAGAGATTGTTTCTAGGTTAATTAGATTGGGAATTCATGTTTCTTCTATTCCAGAAGAAAGATATATTTCTGAGATAGGTATACTTATTATTGAGGTCGGTTGGTTTGAATGCAAAACTTTGCATTTTGGAGCTTCCTTGTGGAATTTGATGTCATTATTATATACAAATAATTCCAAATCAAGTTTTTGAATTGAACATTTTTATTGTCGTCAACTCTTGAAATTGTACTCCTTCCTTTGTTTACAAATCAATTCGTATAAAATAAACACTGGAATAAAAACATGCTTCTTCCTAAAACAATCAATTTATTATTTTGATGATGGCAGGTCATGTCAGGTTATGTTTATACTAAGCATATACATTTGAGTATGGTAAATATTTTCATAGCTACAGATGAAACATTCCATGAACTTCTTGTTTTATCCTTGAAGGAGTTTGGTATTCTTAATTCAGTTTTCCATCAACATCTCTCAAAAATGTGATTCAGAAAGTCAATTGAATCGTACCACCATGACTTGTGGACATTCTGAATTACATTTAATACTCCCTTGGGGCTTGAATGCCAATTCTATAATGTCCAGTTTTTAAATCACCCAAACATCCAGCAATAAAAAATAAAACGTTCAACAGGTGATACATCATGTATGTACACAGGACAAATAAAAAATATATGTTGTCTCTAATATTCAAACCAGACATATGATTTACGATTTATATATACCCATATATTTGTATTTTGAATTGTAAATCGACAAGCTTCAAGCATTGGAATAGTTAAATAGTTCGTTTGCTATAGATTCCTCCCGCACTGGCACAGAAAAATGTTACTATTATTGTTATCAAAAAAAATCGAAATATCAACTCAGTTTGTTTATATAATATATAGATTTCTCAAAAACCATTAAAATTATCATTTGCATAAATAAAGTTATCTACTTTTGATATGACTTTTGTTATCTTCAACAAAATAAAACTTTCAACAATGAGTTCAAAGAGAAGTCTTGAACTTGCAATCAGATCATATCGTGGTTCAAACAATATTATTGAGTTATTTTTCCTAGACAAAATGAATACTCGTTTGGAATCTATTGAACTTTCGAAAAATGTGTACCACAACATTCAGTTCATCTACCGCATGATTAATTTCGTGGAATCAGACACATAGCGTGTCGGGTCAAGGTTTATTTTTCAAATTGATGATTTTCATACGAATTTGTGTTTGTTTTCTTCTACAGAAAAACATATTGAACATTTTACTAGAAAGAAGGAAAAAGAGAATGTTGATAATTAAACACATCGCAGTTGAATTCTTCCTCGCCTTCATTGTCATTATCATTCATATTATCTCTTCAGAAACGAAAGTCTCGTGTTAGTTTAAGTACATATTTCATATGTTTTAACTTTCCTAGTTGATTTATGGAAATAGTTTGATTTTTATCAGCCTATTGAACTTACAACGGTAAATGATCAATTTTGATAGAGAGTGCAAGTCTTGGGTTTTGGATTCTTTTGGGAAATAGAAATGTCTTCTTTTATTTATATGTCAAAACGTTTCGCCCCTGACCAGGAACATTTTCAATTGTTTATTCAAAAAATGTTTTTATTAACATTGGATGTTTTCTGAAATAAATACACTTTTTATTTCTGTTTTCTTTCCTTTGAATTGATATAAGAAAACAACGCTTATTCCAATTTCACAAAAAAAATTCAAAAACATGACAAAAATTGTCACTATCAATCAGCACAAATGCAGATTCAAATAACCAGAACAACAACACATCAATACTATTTACATTCTAAAGTTATCAATAATTTTAGGCAAGGTACGTACACAAAAAATGGTTATTAAACATTCAACAAATGTATCAATTCGAAGGAAAGAAAATACAAATACATCTTTTCGACGTTTCGGCTTCTGCTTTGAAGCAATTTTCAAGAACCACTTGAAACTGAAATAACATGACTTGACGACGGGTCGTAATCTCACTGACCCCCCAAGTAAGTCTCGTTGTTGCTTTGTTCTGATCCAAGTGTTCAAAGTGAGAACGAAACTTGGGGTGTCAGGCCCTACAATAATTATCAATTTTTCCTATAAGGAAACCTTCATCATTATGGTTTGGTCGGGTTCCTTGTAGAGGGGAACCAAATTTAATACACATTATACGAAAAAGAAAAAGAATATGAATGAAATTTAATAAACCGTCTGAAGTGACAAATGGAAACCCCCAATTTTTATGATTTAATCATATTGAGCATTGAAAAAAAAGGGTAACTTTGTATAAGTATACCTATTCCAAAAATTAGTAGTTTTTGAAATATTTGCAGTTTAATATTTTTTTATCGACAGAATACTTACTAAACGGTTTCTAAATTCTGTCAGTTGGCCATGACGGCGCGGCGTTAGAAAACAATCAATTGATACGATAATGTCACTACTTGTCATTTGCAAATTGTCAATAATAAATCATGCCAGGACGATTTAATTACACAAACGAAGATTATTTGAATTTATTTATTATTTACAAAGAATGTGATGAAGTTATTTCAAGGACATGTGATACATTCGCGAGCCGATACTGTCAAGAAAATTATACAAAATTAGGAGATCTGGCGAACGTCATTCCGCCTAACGGTCAATGAATGAGTAAATTTAGGATTTTAAAATTTATACAAAATTATCAAGTATAATGAAATAAATAGTATTGGTATATAATAAAATTAATGGGAAGAGTGCTCTCTTCAGTAAAGCACCCTGTGATATGCATGTGAACTATCAGTACGTTTTAATATAACACGTCACTATTATCACTGATGTTTTGCCTCTTTTTATTATTTTTATTGATAAAATATCATATTTAAATACTTATCATATACCCGATGAAGACAAATCCATAAACACAAAAATCATAAACATTGTACCAGCCGTTCTTGAGTTCTTTCTTTATTATTATTATCATTATTGATGAAATATCATTTCTCAATACTTATTATTAGTATAAAGGGTTTTACAAAAACCGCGTTGTATAGCGAAACACGTGTCCCAGTTTTTTTAAAACCCTGTATAGTGAAAATCATACAATAAACTGTATTGATTAGTTTTTTGCCTATACCGAAGACCCGATACATTCGGAAGGGCGCGACAACATTATGAATCAACGACAACTCCCCACACCGTGGGTTAAGTGGTCATTAGGTCCGGGAATCATGTGCCCTGAGCAAGCGCAGTGTGCCAAGAAAGACAGCTTTCTGCATCTGTCCGGCTAAGATTTTTGCCTTAGTGCGGCAAGCCGCTATGATTTTAAGACTCGGTAGTAGTGAGGGAGCATTCCATCAAGGACTCCAATAATCAGAATAACTATCTTGACAGAATGGTCTGGATGGAGTCTGTTTTTTCTCCTCTTTTCGGACGATATTCGTCTCGCCAGGAGCTGAAAACTCCACGACAAATATTGTCTTGCTCTGGTGGTAGAAAAGGACTACATCAAGCTTATGTATGAACCTGAGGGTGAGGAACAAATAGTTCCAATAAATTTGGCACTTCTCGTTCCCCACAACCAATTCAATATCCCCTGGAGCGTAGGGCAACACCGGTAATATAGTACTCTGAGGGCCGCGTTATGTCGATGGACTACAAATGCTGGACATGCTGATAGCAAGTGTATTAGGCCCTCGGACGCCTCGCGGCAGGCCCTGCACCTTGTGTCAGAAACCTCTATACCCATCACGTGACTGCGTTAGACTAAGGTGTTGACACCATCCTGGCATGTCATGATGAACCCCTCAGTTTCCGACTTCAGCCCACTCGACCTGAGGAAAGCGAAAGTCAGGCGCTTTGATAAGCCAAGGTCTTCAATGTTATTGAAGAAGACCCCATGCATTGGCTTATCCTTGTGTTGCTGCAGAAGTGAGGTTATCCCTGCGGCTTTTATATGAGCCTTCTGCTGAATGGGTTCCAACTCGCTGACTAGAGTTGCGATCAGCTCGTATCGCAGTATCGAAAAGAAAACTAAACCGAGATCATCAGCTGCTCGGGTAGCTGCCCTAAAGAGAAATTCTCCAATTCCTGCTCTCTCACGGTCGTGGACCATGCAGAGAAGAGGATCCAAACTCCTGACGACTTTACAGGCTACATCCAGTACCACTTTGTCATCATGTTTTCTCCATGTTGTCGAGGAAAGTACAACCGTGGAACAGATTTGGGATGCAAACTCCCATAGAGATGTGTCATTTTTCGGGTCTTTACGTCGAGTTGATACAGCTCCTCCAGAGTCCACTTCACTACTACAAACGAGTTGAGTAAAATTGGAACGGCAAGCATATTTGTTTGTTATTATTATTGGTGAAGTATCATTTTCAATACTCGTTATTCTATTCCCGAAGAAAACCAATCCAAAAACACAAAAATCATAATTGGTCCAGCCATACTTTTATCATTATTTTTATGATTATGATCATCATTTTAATAGATGAAATATCATTTTTCAATACTCGGGTACTATTCTATTCCCGAAGAAAACAAATTCAAAAAAATAAACTCACGACAGATAAAATTTCATATGTGTGGAAAGTATAAAGAATGAACTTCAGCAGTAATTGGCTTTTTTCAGTATTTTTTTGTTGTCATCAATTTGCAACCCATTATTATGTTTGTTTTTTTCATCTAACATTGAAGACTGTGAGTCTATTACAATTTGATGATATGGGTTTCTATCTATTCATTAGATAGATAGATACATAGTGCAGCACATTTCATTCAGTAGTTCATATTTTAGTTTCGCTTATGGCTTGAAATAATTTCAGACTGCAGAAGATGGTAATTCACAAGATTATAGTCCGGAATTATATGTTCTCAAGGCAGACGGAATTTCTGAAACCAAGGTCTTTCCAGCTATATGTTTTGTCCAGAAGTTTATCGACCAAGCAAAAAAATATCACTGGTGAGTGTAATCGTTTTCTTTGAAAGATAACAAAGGTGAAAAATGATAACCTCTCTCAATATTTGAGTATAAATTACATTGACATGTTGAAATATATTCTTACTTGCTTTTGAAGTTCTAATATCATGGACAAGTTTGAATTGGAGTTTTTATTTTTACTCGATTGTTTCATCCATGAAGGTCTGATTATTTTTATTAGCTTTTTCAACAAGTACCCATTCTCTTCAGAATGTTTTGAGTTTTATACTAGTTGTTATTCACGTAATTATCTATCTGATTTTTAATTTCTCATAATTTCATGCCAATGTAGGTAAAACAGATTGGAAAAATATCCTTATTCGATTTCTACCTGTTGGAATTTGTTTGATTGGTGTAATGCAATGGAGGGCATTGAGAAAAAAACAAGGTAATGCCATTGCTTCACAATGGGAAGTCAATTGTTACTGCATGCTGCCGCTAAGAACAGTGTCAAGATGCTGGGGATATTTGGCAGGTGAGGAATTCTTTTTCTGGTAATTTTCATTTGTTCAAATTTGGTAATGTATTCCAGTTGATACTTAACATCGATAAATAATTTTCACAAGAGGTGAGAACATGTGATTATTTTAAAATACTTCGGTAAGCTGGTGAATCTTTAGTTGTAAATAATCATATCTATATCAAATTGGTTTTTTCTTCATGTAAAATTGAGGATGTGCTGTTAAATACGATACTTGCTCAAGTTCAGTTTTAGGATTCGTTAAAATTAGGGTTTGGTGGGATTTTATATTTCGGCAATTATGGCAATTGACATTAATCAACAACAATAATTCACAGTGTGCTAAATATTTATCAATCTCAGTAGTCCATTCAATAATTAAAACTTTTTTCACGACAAATTACTTCGTTTTTGAGATACTCAATAGAAATCTCCATGTTTTCAATTTTTCTCAAAAATTTCTCAGATTCTCATAGTTTTTAAAATGTGTTCAGATATTTCAGTGATAAAGGGTAAAACTAGGATAATTTTGAACTTTTTATAGAACTTGATAGCATAAAATTGTAAATTGAAAATGCCTACTATCTTCAGTGGTTTCGAAAAATGTTTGTTCAAAAAAGTTTTCCTGTAAAGTGCAGAAAAAACACAAAAAACGGGGAAAATTTCAATTTGCTATCTGTTCTCTTCAGGGGTATGTGACTCATTAAATAAAAACTTTTGGATTTGCTCTGAGCATAGCATCTTACTGCTACTACTGGTACTATTACTTTTTATAAAAGTATAAAAATTCGTATATTCATCAGCAATCTACCAATTCTGGCAGTTAGCTTTTTGATACACTGAAAAATTAATTGTATTCATAACGTCATTTTTATTTGATAGTATCTTTCTATTTTGTGTTCAGTCTACTTTGCACTTGTAGCAAATGTTATTATTTGTAATATTTTTGCTACATGACTGTCACTTTTTTGTGTAATTTGTAGAAATATGAATTATTTAAAAGATTCTTGGTTATAGTTTACTGACTTTTTGATTACTGATGCTTTGGCTTACTGTTCCCTTATTCATTCACATTTTCTCACTTGCTGAATATAATTTCGAAACATCCTTACCAAAAATTGTTTAGTTTATTAGTTCATCATATTTCAATGTTGATTTTTACTTGTATCTTGTAAAAAATTTTTGATAAGGACGCACCTTATTTCTCATAATTACCTTTACCTTATCTTTCAGAATGGTGATCTTAGGTGCCTCAACTGACGAAAACGCCAGCTGTGTGCCAAAAACACGTTTTTGTTCTCTCTCCAGGGTATTTTCTTTTCATTTCACCATTTGTTTCACTCATTTAAGTCGAGAACATCATTTTTTTACCATTGTAGATATAAATCTGCCCGAATTTCTGAGGCCTCCCGTGTACAAAATCTACTCCAACACCTTTGGCGTCAACATTTCTGAAGCGCAGAATGAAGATTTGAAATCGTATTCAAGTCTAGCAGATTTTTTTGCTAGATCCTTGAAAGAAGGGGTGAGAGAAATAGATTGGAATAGCTGTTTGGTATCACCTTGTGACGGGACGGTTCTCCATTTCGGGACTGTCGATACTGAGCAGGTGGAACAGGTAATTACTTTTTTTTCTTGTGTTTGTTATCTCATTTTGTGTATAATATATCATCTTCTAGTTAAATATTGCTTTTTATTTCAGGTGAAAGGAGTAACATATTCCTTGAAAGATTTTTTGGGTGAGCAACCATTGAAAGGGGAAGATAATGCAGATTTTAGAAAATCCCTTCTTCGCTATCCTCATGAAGGCAATACTCTGTATCAGTGTGTTATCTACTTAGCTCCAGGAGACTATCATAGGTATGGTGAATTGTTATATCTAAGAACAAAAACTGTTGCTGTGATGTACTGAAGAACTGAATGAGATAATTTTTAAGAATTCTTCATGTTTACAATTATTAAAATATTATCTGAAAAATAATAATTTAAAACAAAAAAAATAGTAGAAACGGTGACAATAATTTCCCTTCAAATAGTGTCTGCCCAATTCAAAATATTTCCTATAGTAAAACTTTCACTTATACATGGCTGAAGTCAAGTTAAAATAATTCAATTACAAAAATAAGTTTTTGAAAATCCTCTTTGGCTTTAAACTTACTATTGAAATAAAAGAAAATCATCCTCAGATTTAAACTGAATTATCGTTTTACAACATGAATTACTTTTTTCTTTCTCAGTTTTTGCACCATAAATTCATACTATGAGTATATAAAATAAAATACACATCATTTGAGGAACTGAATCAATGAATATTGATATAAAATACCACTCACAAGAATCTCAAACCTGACCCAGAGTTTTCAACTATTGGTCAGGAGTATTCTGGATAGTTCAATTGTAGTTCATATCGCATTTCTACCTAAGTGTTATTTTACTGGATATTTTCATGATAGAAGAAAAGAAAACTTTTGCCAAATGGTAATTTTCATCCTTGTATGATATCTGGCACAAGTATAAAAATTACTAGAAGTGGTGAACATTTTAAAGCCTGTGTCGAAGCTATTTTCCGAGTTTATTGGCAGTGGTTTGCAGGTTTTCAAGGCTGGCATTTCGTCCACGACTGCTGTGAACATTATCAAAGACAATAAGGTAATGGACGAAATGCTATTGTTGTCCTCTCTGCATATGTCTCTGTCCAGTACCTGTGTTTCCGGTTTTATTCCATCCGTGGAGGGCGTGGCTTCAATCCCAAAAACTGAGTTGAATGATCCGATTTGTGCGTGATTTAGGGCAGGTAGCCAGATGAATGTCTCTTACCTCCCTGTATAATCTTGGATAGTAATTTTGGGTTTTATTCAGTACAAGATAACCTGTGTGCCTTCTTCGGCTACAGCTGATTTATCTGTCTGTCCGAGGCGACAATTTCTCTTGAGTTCAGAGAGACAGGTATTTATCGTTCCTTTCAACATGCACTCAAAGAAGGCACACACGTTATCTTGTTCGATGGTAGACGGTACTAGACAAAATTCAAAATTACTATTCAAGATTACACGGGGAGGCAATAGAAATTCATTAACTCAAAGATAATTACAATGGAAAAGAAGGCATAAACATTGATAAAATTTGCCACGCATACCTCCGATGGAGTAAAATCAGAAAAACAGATACTGGATGAAGTATGCTGAGACTTCTACAAGAACACTGCGTCCATTACCTCATCGCCTTTTATAATGTCCACCTTAAAAATCTGCAGACCACCGCTAGCAAACCCGGAAAACACAGTTTTCTCCGACCGTGATAATTTAAAATCTTTGAATTGAAAGCCTGTCATAGTCGCTTTTCACTCAATGTGTGTCTATTATAGTCCTTCAAACAGTTTTTGTTTTATTATCATTTGAAGTTATTTTATATAAAACATATTTCAACTTATCACAGTGAACTTGTATGTAATGCTAGAAGAAGTTGAAAGCCTAATCTCTCATCTTTCGTGAAAAGCAAGAAATACATTGTGAAACGAAAAAATTATTTGGATTGCAAACAAGAGTTTTTTACTTTTCACACATGGAAGTTTATATTTGAAATATAAAGGTCAATTGAATTCACATCTATATCAGTCAAAATAAATATTGAACATTATTTCTGTTTTTTTATGATCCCTATAAAATTTACTTTTATAAACTATACCACCGTGCCAAATTAACAGATGCTTGGTTCTCTATAATAAACAAATAGTATTAATTTGAATATTAGAAACCATATGCAAAAAATAAGTCAGAGTTTATCAATTTGTATAAATGAAAGGTTATCTTTATTACTTCAATGATATTATTGACCCTTGAACTGAATGCTTTTTTCATCTAATTTTTCCAAGGTCACTTTGAAACTCAAAATGATACATTTTCTCACAAATAAAACTTTTTTTGTCATTATTTTTTTGAGTAATTGTCGGAACCAGACGGACACTAAAAGACGGCTCGGACAATTTTGTCAAATTTTCCGGATCAATTGACCTTTAGGTAGTTTCTTAAAATCTGCTAAGAGTTTGGATGATAAAAAAAAATTCATATAGCATCAAGATATGACACTGAAAAGTAAAATGTGGTATTATGAAATAGAATCATTTGAATAAATTTTGGTGAATGAATTGAAAGGATGAACCATAAGTTGAATTGATTTTACTGTATAACAATAATATAAAATAATTGTCCAAAAAAGGTAAAAAAAAATTGTTTTCTTCTCTCGAGCAAACTCTGAAATCTTTTTGAGAAGAGTGAGCTCGGAAACCAAAATGGATTTTGCTCATTTATTATATTAATGAGCAAAATTAGTATATTAAACAATTTTAATTTGAAATACATTCTACAGGTTTCATTCACCAACAGAATGGAAACCTACTCACCGCAGACATTTCTCAGGTCAGCTTCTATCAGTTAACCCAAGTATTGCCAAATGGCTGCCAGGTCTCTTCACTCTCAATGAAAGAGCTGTTTACTTAGGTCAGTGGAAGCATGGATTCTTTTCTTATACTGCAGTAGGTATGTAAAAATTTCAAGTTAAATATTTGAATACAATATTCTCATAAAAACAAATTTTTCACAACAGAATAAGTTAAATCTCCACAAATTGTATCTTAGTGTTCTAACTATCAGAAACGGTTTGTTCAGAATGTAATGCTAAAGAACCACTTGCTATAGTCCTTATGAATGGGTTGCAACAGTATGGTTTCAGAATCATATTTAATGGACCGCAAATCAATAGGTAAAACAGCTGAGTGCTCTTCGGAACTGTCATCATTTGTGTGCCTCGAGACTTGATCCTTGGTCCACCTTCATTTCTCCTGTATAATATAGATAAATGACTTAGCTCTTACAGATATAACATCCCCTCACTTTTTTTTTCAAATGACACCACCTAATTATGTCAAAATCAGGATATTCCCGCTTTTCATGAGGACATTTTAAGTTATCCTCTATTATTCATGAAACCAGCATCCTCACTCTTCGCTGCAACTTATCTAAAATCTGCTTTGTGATGAAATCATAAAACAAAACGTAATTAAACACTTTTTTATCGACCTTTTTAGGTTATTTTTACCTTCCACAATCTGAAAAAATATAAAAACTTTAATGGAGAACTTTATACACCCGTAGAAATAGCAATATTTTTAGTTTACCCCATAAGTTACTGTGTAAAATCAAAGTATTTTTCATAAAGAAAAATGTTCTATTCATCAGTAACTTGTCGTATTTAACAATTTTGCCTATCAAAAAAAATTGCTAGGAAATAATACAATACTTTTCTTAACGTTTCGGAGGCCAATATCTGCCTCCGTCTTCAGAAATAAATAAAAAATTCAAAGATATTTGCAGTTTATTTATTGCTGATTATTTTTTTCTCAACTTCTTCGACGCTAAATGATTGATGATAAACTGAAGTTTAAGGACCATACAATGAATATAGGATAAAGAAAATAACTTTTAGTCAGATTTCTACTAAGTTTTTTATTTGTTACGACCGGTTTCGATTTGTTAAATCATTCTCAAGTTTACTTGACAGTAACTTGAGTAAACCCAACTTTACTTGAGAATGGTTTCTCGCGTTGGTTGAGGTTGAGAATTGTTCCTCAAGTGAACTCAAATTTACTCGAGAATGGTTTAACAAATCGAAATCGATCATAACAAATAAAAAATTTAGTAGATGAAAGTTTATTTTCTTTATCCTATATTCAATAGGAATTTCTACAAAACAAATAGGTCATCAATCGAACAAGTTAGACAATACAATAAACTGAAGCAAGAAACTTGTATCAGGTTGCTATGCACTGAGAGTAACCTCTATAGACCTAGGCTATTTCCATTCAAGAACAGCTTAGTCACAATATCAATATTGAACTGCCTATTTCCTGGAGCTTCCTAGTTAGAGCCTCAATTATATTTAATGGTATTAAGCTGATCAATCATCTGTCAGTTGAAATCATGATGTGAAATCATGGTGTATAATAGATTCAGAAATTCAGTCAAAATGTTACTTAATATAATAAATGCTTTTATTGAAAGGTTTCTCAGTACAAGAGATACTAAGCTGAAACCTAACAAATGGCAGCATTCAACATCTACACATGATAAATCAAGTAAATCAAGGCAGATATAGCTCTTCCATCCATAAGAATATATTATACAGTTTAGAAAATATTTTTGCTTTTGAATTTAAATTGTATTTGTTCAATTTATTAGCATGTTATATGATAGAATTTACCCATACTTGATGAAAAACAATTACGTATTCAAAAAACACTTCATTGTGAGATTTTCACTAAACAAAAACAAAATGTTTTTTGAATGTATTTGCATGTTTTTGAAGGATTTTTGCCAGTAGACTTATTACTAATAACAATAATTGAATCTGTAGTTTGATAAACCGACATGACTGCAAACTAAAATTTGAAAAACCAAAGAAATGTTTCAAAAACTGCAAGATTGTGATATCAATAATACGTATTTGGACATCACGAGCAAACTTTCAATCGACTGACTCAATTATTAGACTTTGTCTAATAGACCCAATGCACAGAGGTGTACAATATAAAGTGCTGCAAATTATGCATTGAGATGGACGTTGTTGAAATACACTGTTTCTAATGAGCCAATGCAGATGAGTGTCGCATAGTCTTGCATTTGTATTCCAATAATATCCATCTGAGATATTTTCTGATAATGAAGTATATTCAAATCAATTTTAAAAATACAATATGCTGTAAACTGACAACAATTTCCTGAAAGTTGAAAATATTTGGTTCATCTTCAATAACAGTTATTTGTATATTTCAAGTTATAATCGCACTTAATTACTTGCAGGAGCTACAAATGTTGGGACAGTGAAAGTATACTTTGATAAAACTCTACAGACGAACCAGCCTTTCAAATCAAAATTATGCAGAGATCGTTGTCTTGGGAGTTCAATAGAACTAAAAAAGGGTGAACTCATCGGAGAGTTTCGAATGGGCTCGACTATAGTATTGATATTTGAGGCTCCTACCAGCTTCAAATTCACCATATCACCGGGAGATAGGGTGAGAATGGGACAAAGCTTAGGATGTGTTAGGCAACAGAAATTTGTAGATAGGATAGTTAATGATAGACTAGATTTTAGGAGCTTTAGTTAAGGTTTTTTTGCAAAGACTTTTTACGTATTAAAAATTGTGATATTTTTTAATAAAATATTTAAAATCCCATATATACTTTGTTTAATTTCTATTTTAATTTAATTAAACAATATTATTAGATGAAGATAGCTGTTTGAATATGCTTTTTGAATATTTAATGCTTCAGGCTATCGATATGTACATTGAGACAAGAAAGTCAAATTCAACGTTGTTAGTTTCTCAGAATCTAATTCTTACACGGTTTGAATCTTATAAAATTAAAAGCATGATGGATATTTTCAATTTGTCGATATCATTAGTAGAGTCTTAATCTTCCTATTTATGTATAAGGAGTATGAGAAAAAAGAATCAATTATAATAAAGATTTATTCATGGTACTTGAACGGCTGGTTTAGATGACTTATGTATTAAGAGTGAGAGGCCCGGGTATGCCTACAGACACATACGCTTTATCAAAATGTGTAATGACAGATATGTTTAAAGGATTTCTGCTCATTTCATTAGATTTCAGAAAAGGGCATGGAAGGTTTGGACGAAGAGATTTTTTGAGAAAATAAAATACTTTTCCAAATATTATTGTGTGGAATGTCTTGTTTGGAGTTTTATTGAACTTCTGCACAGGATAATGCTTACTAAAAATTCAAATATGTCTTCGTCCGAACCTTACAATGCCTATGTAGCTTACAATAAAACACTCAGTTTTCAAAAAAAAAAATAATTAAAAGATCATATTTCGCAAAATTGAATTTATACAAACGCCACTAGTTACGCAAATTATTCACATCAGATCATCGCTAGTTGACTGAATTCAGGCGCGATAAAATAATCAGAGGAAGTTTGCGATAGTAGCCACGCCCCTAGAACAGCGGCGCGCGAATACATATTTTAATATTTCTTCAATAAAATGTAAATGGGAGATTCCGAAATTATTGAGAATAAATATTTAGTACTGGATATTTCACAGGAAGTGGTCAAAATTATAATTACGGGTTAGAGCGCATAACGTATATTTAGACAAGCTTTTATTTATAAGCTTGTAGGATTAGGTTCACTTGCAGGTAACAAACTAACCAACAATGTAAAAAATATTGCAAGTTGAATTCGACCCAGTTTTAATCATCCGATTGATTTGAAATTTTGCAGGTATACATAATCCCGGTGACAATGCATTATGAAATTTTTGTTAACAGAAAAAACAAAATGGAGACTTCATATGGCGAACGAGTTTTGTGAATATAGTCCGATTCGAATCAAATTTGGTATCTAGGGGTTGTTAGGGTCGGAGATATGATTCTCATGTCAAAATTGGGAAATTCAACGTGGTGGCTCCAGAATGGTCGACGAGTTTTGTGATTATCGCCCGATTTATTCAAAATTGGAATCTGGGGGTTTTCAAGGTAGGCGATTATGATTTTTTTTTTTAAATGAAGATGGAGGCGAAATAAACGGAAAAAAATGTAATTTGTAGTTGTCAATAACAAGAGAAATAAAAAGTTCAAAATAAAAATAATAAAAAAACATTTTCAAACAAAAGCTTTTATACAAACACACTAAAAAAAAAAGAAAAATAATCATTTATTGTATGATCTAGGTTATTCTGTGGGTTTTTCATTTTAAACTATATACTCAATTTTTCGTTTAGATTCTAGGTGCAAGGGGTCTGAGAGTCTCGTATTCACTTGACTTGCATCAAACTGCTGCGCTATCAAAAGATTGCGAAATTATTGACATATCGTATTGCTGTAGGTCTAGTGACATCTGACTCATTTTCTAAATATAGGTATTTACTTTTTGAAAATACACCACCTTCCACTAATTTATATAATTTTGAAAATTCTGGGTGTTCTATAAACGAACGGTAAAATTTATACTTATATAATAGAATATAAGTAGTTTAGGTTGTCAATGTCACTAAGTTATTTCAAAGATGACGTACCATACGTCACTTTTACTTTAGGGAGGAAAAGTATGACTTTGCTTCCTACAATGAGGTCAGGTAGTGTATACTTTTGATAGAAATAGGCGGAAAACATATTCATTGTCTATTTCTCAGTAAATTTTTTTCCTAATAAAAGTGTGTGTATTACTTGAAACCCAAAGTGAACTACACAATGAAACAAAAATGCGAAATATTTCTCTTTGTCACAACTTGGGGAGTTTAAAAAAGTTCCAATAAAAAAGTTATATTATCAAAACAGTTTATTTGCAGTAAAACAATCAATTAAGGAATTATTGGACTTTATCTTCCAGTGGCGCATTCGCTTTTTCAGCTGCAGGAAAACAATGTCCTCTCTCTCATAAAACAAAACGTAGGGTGTCTCCAGAGGCTCCAATAGATTCAATACATCGCCAGAACACTTCGTGACACGACTATCGTCAAACCTAAACCAGCCCGTTTCGACCAAGGCGTAATAATGACCAAAGTCAACGCCAGAACCACAGTGAACAATGACTGCATGAAAATTATAACAATGGTCTGCTAGATTGAAATGTTCATCTATTTCGAACCTTCGAAAGAGTTTTTTTGCTTCCGTCAGAGGTTGAGTCTTGTTTGAATATCATCAGTGTTATTATTAGATTGACTGGTGCCTCAGCTATACTTGTTTCCTTATATCAGTCAGTTTGGCGCATGTTTGGCAATACAGTCGATCATTACATGTTGAAAATTTCATTTTCAGATGATTTAACAATAACCTTTGCACGGACTGGTTATTAGTCATATTAGCAAACACTAGATGAAGTTCCAGAAATTCAAATAGGTTTTCGTTACCCCTTGAACATTTACTACAAAGTAAACAAGTGAGAATTTTTCCAGCAAAAGATTTACAAACTTAAGGCGAGATGGACTGTACGGAATAATTCAATCCAGAGCGGTCAGGAGTATTGATTTTGCTATTGTTTTGCTCACGAAGAGTATTCAACAAGAACCCCAAGAATTCCGAACAATCCTCTTGTTCTAACGAGTATCTGGTGGACTTCAAAGGCTCTAAGAAATCGGTTGGAGGGAAAGGTGATACATTCTCACGAAACTGCAGCTGCATGAACAGTTGTTTGAGTTTGATGAATAAGTAGGAAACATTCTCGTTCATCATTAAAACCTCGTTGTTGAAATTCTTCGTCATGAACAACACTTGTAAAACTGCAGGGGCAGCATGTTTGTTCTTGCAAATATCTGCCAACTTATTGACATAATTCCTTAGGAGATGGTTTCTACATTCAATTTTTCCCACTGTAATGTTGTATTCTGCATAAGGGTCGTATTCCAATAACTTTTGATAACAGAAGCTGTCTCCATCCGCAATCATCGTTTTTAAAAATTACTCCGTGCTTTTCCAAACTTTGTTGAAATGCGTCTGTAATTACATCCGATTCCATGTCACTTGAAGACAACATCCAATTTTTGAAACAGGGATGGGGCTTTGGTTGACTTCCTTTATTTTCATGTTTTTTACACACAACGCAATATTTATTTCTAACACCCATGCTAATGACTTTATTAGTTTATGGACCTGAAATAATAAAGAATAAGACACATATTTAATATTTATGGAATACATGAATGATATGTTGTGAGTACAAAAAGTGTAATTCACGCCCAAGTGCATAAAGTTGAAATTTATAAACTACGCGTAAAATTTTTACTTTATGTACGGCGTAAATAAACTTTTCACTTCTCTAATAAAATTCTAGTTTCGTTTCACAAAAGTATTTCTTTGAAAATCAAAAATTTTTACTCACTTGTATTTGGATAGCCTAGCGATTCTTGTTTTTGCACTAATTCGCCTTATACTCAAACTCATTCTTTTTTTAGGACCAAGGTCTCTCCAACAATGTTTGCTTTCCATATTCATATCGTCTAACAACCTTCTATTTGTCTTTTGATGTATACTAAGCACAACTTATACTTTACGAACTGAACTAAACCGAAATAAAACAGCAATAATCCAACCGCAAACCTAGAAACACACGATTACAACGTATTTTACGTACCACCACTGTCGAGTGACTTCTGTACCGATATTGTGTTTATGCGCATATCTTGGCTACTTGCAAGCTCCACCTTTTCCCTTCCTCCCGCTTGACCCTTGCACCCCTCAGAAACTGTTCGCGAAGGGCCGTGTCACTGTTCGTGTCACTTTTTCGTGTGACACTACCGAATGAACCAAAACTCGGATATGCCAAATATTTTTCCTGGCTGAACTTAGCTGATACATAACCAATTAGAACTAGGAGGAAGGAGAGCCGTTCAATAACAACTTTCATTGCTCATAAAGAAATGTTTCAGTACAAACATGTTTGGAGTAAATTTGGCACCAGAAATATTCCAAAGAGTACTTGAAGAAATGCTTTCTCTATGTGAAAAACTGTTTAAATTATCTTGATAATGTTGTTTTTATAATAAATTGACATGTAATGAAAATGTTTAAAGAAATTAATGTTATTCTGAATCGGACGAAGTGTGTGACAAAAGTACAAGAGTTGCAGTTTTTGGGACACAAGCTATCTGGCAGTGGTATCACCTACAACAAAAGAAGAACTTGAGGAGTTTCTCAGGATCAGTTACTCACTTAGGCAAGTTTATACCAAATTTACGTACTGTTACTGAACCATTCCGTTAGCTGGGCAATGGACAGATGAACAAGAGAACTTCGACAAGTTGAAACAATATCTAACAAGTCTTACAACAGTGACCTACTTTGACCTCAAGAGGAGAACACACCTGATAGCCGATGCTAGCCCAGTTGCTTTAGGATCAGTCCTACTGTAGTTTGATAAATATGATAGTTTGCAAGTGATATTTTTTACAAGCAAAGTTTGAGTAATGTTGAGCGACAATATTCTCAAACAGAAAAAGAAAGTTCTATTCTAGTTTGGTCTGTGGAAAGATGTTATTAGTATCTTTCAGTTGATTTTTTATACTGCTGAAGTGTAGAACTGTAGTTTAGTGTAGAACGGTAGAACTGAATGTTTACCCCGAAGAGTTACTGCATAATATAAACTACTGTAAATTCCAATTAGTCAGTAACAAGTTACAACATACAGGGTTGTTCTCCTCACCAATGCGCAAATA